GCTTTACTTTAAACTATTAAATAACAGGAATATATACAAGGAAGAAAATAATTTATACTTAAAATTTAAAATTATAACAAAAGTTTTACACTTTTATTTTTACACTTACCTTTCCATCTTCTTCAGCTTTACTGTGATTGTTATTACAAGTGAGAAATGTCAGTTTATTTTCATAGCTCTAGGTAGCTTATAACAGAATAAGCAACAGCTGGGTTTATTTATAATTAATTAAAAATGGCGGCTCTTTAATCGTAAATTTCCCCATCAAGATAGGTGTCAAAACGGTCAGTGGAACATATCAAGTAAAGATACTAGGTCAAAATGAAATTCATCGATAACTAATAATAAACTGAACTGGAACAACTAACAATATCTGTAGTGCTACCAACTGAGCACCTTACCATAAATCACAATTTCAGAATTTGGTTAAAGTATTGCAAATAAATTATGTGCTAGTTATCTCTCTGATAATTTTTTAATTACTACTTAAATAAATTTTCTTATTATTAGTAGCCTAAATGATTTTTCTTATTAAAATAAAATTAGTAATTTTTTTTTTTGTTATTTTAAATAAATTAAGTTAATATTTTTGTTATTTAAATAAATTAAGTAAATATTTTTCTTATTTAAATAAAGTAAGTAAATATTTTTTTCTTATTTAAATAATATTAGTAAATAATTTTTCTTATGTACTAACATCACCTGTTTGATTACAATATTATCTGAAGAAATAATAGAGAAGGCTACATACCAAAATGTGAAACTATTTCATAACTATGGTAACACTGCATACAATAAAACTCTAAGTGTATTTGGTGAACTTGTTATCAATTAAATTTGACACTTCTCATTCTGTTAATGATGCAGAGGTTTTATGTGAAAAATTATATTTAATATAAAAGCTTTATTAAAAAAAAAACAATACAAACTACAAAGTCCTTAACAGTACAAATATAACATAATTTAACAAGGATACTTAGAAACTTGTGACTCTTCTCTTAATTAAGGTAATTTAAATATTAATTAATTTATGTAGGAATTAAAAATAACCGTGTTAAATAGTGAATTTTAAGTATGTACATTGGAGGCACTATTAAAAACCTTTAAAGATGGGATATAAATTGTGATGCATTTACAATTTGTACAGAGGAAGTTTTTTTCAAATAAATACTTATTAAAATGGTACGGAAAAAATATCACTGGCTCTGATCCTATATACAAGAAAAATATTGTTTTAAAATAATAAATAAATTAAATATATAAACAGAACTTAACATAATAAAGCTATAGCTAAAGTCAATGGTGCACCATAAGTTAGATACAAATTAAGCAAATAAAATTAGAAAATTGTTTAAGAACAGTTTTACAGTTTATATACAATATTAAAAATACAAACAAAATAGTTTCTATAGCCATTAGGGAGACCTGTGTGTGATACAAATTAAATATTAAGAAAAAGTAATACAAACGAGCTAAATCTAATTTCTTACAGACAGAAGAGGATTAAAATTTTAAATGTAAAATAAACCAATTTTACTTTTTAAATTATGATCAAGTCATGTGTATAAACCCAGTAAAAGTAAATATTCCAGGATTGATTTTAAATGTTTTAAAAATTGTTATAACCATACACAGCATTATGTTTTAAATATTGTATTTCCCCCTTGCCCCTAAAAAAACCTATTGTTTTGGAACCCCAATAAGTATCAATTCAAATGTTATAAACTATTTGTAAACAAGAGGTTTACAAAATATAATTTACAAACTAGATGTTATGTAAGCTAATCACAAGTAAAAGAAACAATTAGCCATATAAACTAAGAATAACTATCTATCTATTTAGCTGGGTGATAATAATGCTTGCCTTCAAATATGAAGGTCGCTGGTTCAATTCCAAGCAAGATCGTTTCCAGTCAAAGACGCCATTTGTTGTTGGACTATCAATTAGTAATCCTAACAAAAGGGTAGTAAGATAGGAACAAGACCAGGATATGGATCGTTCCCTAACAAAAAATGTTAGAAATGCCAAAAAGGCGTACACATAGACACATTTATCAAAAATCCTCTAAAGCTTCGTCTTTTTTAATCTTCCTGAACTCTACGTTTTCATTGGATTTCCTCGAAGATCTTCTCATCTTCGGTGGATCTTGTGGTATCTTGTGTACGTTGGTGAGGTGTCTGTTTAGGTTTCTCGCGTGGAAGAATTTTCTTGCACAATGAGGACATTCAAACAAAGGATCCTTACTACACTCTCTGTTGTGTGCTCGTAGATGAAATATGTGTTTATAACTTCGTCCGCAGGATTGACAATGAAATCGGGCCTCCATATTTTCATCCACTTCTGCCTTGAAATTTTTTGAAGTAGCTGTTTTACTGGAGTTTTCCTCCCCCTCATTACCCTCTTTAAGTACAACTTCACACTGTAGTAGACTCCAGTTGGAATTATCTATAAAAATGTAAAAGAGAAGTAAAATCGATATTTAATAGAACATAATTGTAAACAAAGATTTCATATTAAATAAGAATAAGCACAACAGAAGATTTAATAGCTTGTAACATAAACAATTGTGTTAAATTAATATGCCAAAAGTAGTAAAAGCTTCTAGTAATAAATTTTAATTTTACTAAATAACACAATATAGGGGTTTTTTACACTGGTTCACCAATTAAATCAAAAATTTAGCCGAACATTATTATGGCAGTCTCTTTAAGCTTTAGTCATGTTTCTTATTAATAGTATCGTAATGTTTTATCATATTGATAGTCATTAATAACATTTTGATACACTAAATAGTCCAATGAATATGAAATGGATTTTCAACTGCAAAAATGTCTATTTCCAAAAAGGCAGTAAAAACTGCAAAGTACCGGTAACTAATATTTACCACGAGACCTTACCGTTAGACCACCACCGCCCACCACCACGCCGTGCAGAACGCATCATACCGTGCATAGCCAAACTTTTCGTGCGAAATTGTTAGCTCTATCACTGTAGCTGTCAAAACATGTCGTTTGTAGGTTAAATTTAAATTAATTTAACTGTCATAACCTAACCAAAACCAACCAAACTTGCTGATAATAAGAAAAATTTGAGTGAAAAAGTTAATGCCTCCGGTGGGTTTCGAACCGGCTACCTCCGAATTATCAGCCCGGTGCGCTATCCACTACACTACCGAGACCTACAGCTGTTCAACGTATCTTTGCGGTAAGGTGTTCGCTCAAGCAGTGGTGGGCGGTGGCAGTCTGTCGGCAAGGGTTAATACCCTATCACTAAAAATTACTGAATAACATTACTATTATGGCATATATGAAAATCCTTGGAAACTAATAAAACACAACATTGATTGGATCACAGATTTAATCAAAATATTTTACAGCCTGCTAATACATCCAATATCTATTATTGATGGAGAGAATTTATTTTCAGGCAAACTCTCCTTTTACTACAAATTCATTGAATTTTATTTTAATGCTTACTCCAGGAAACAAAAAAGAATAATTTTATTTTAAATATTAAATATTGCATCATCCCAAATTGGGAAAACTATTTTTTCTCACAACAGAAAACAATGACTAGATAAACAATAAAACATCATCCTCAACATTTCTTTAACAACAAATAAAAATTGTTTAAATAACATTAAAAAGCTATAAATAAATAATGACCTAGTATTAAAGAACTGAAGATAAATTAAGGGAAGTCGAATAGTTACTGTGGATCCTCTGATGAGTGTACAAATTTGACTTTTGGTAAAACTTTTTCCCGCAGACATCACAAGAAACTTGAGGCTGAAGTCCTCCGCAGTAGAGCTTTCTATGTTTCCGCAGTCCGTGCCTCGTGGTGTAGGACTTGAAGCATTTGTCACATTTGAAAATCCTCGTCAAATCCTCATTACTGTCTATGTAAGAATCTGTGCATAAAACTATAAGTTGGATGGTTTTAAGGGTAATGTTATTAACACCTGCAAAATATTAACTAACATTGTGTTTAAAAATATTTAAAAACAAAATCAAATTTTATAAGAGACAGCAATTTGAAAGACTTTTCTTACATTGCACTCTTTTTATTTGTTATAAGGCCTATTTAATTTATCATTGTTTATTATAATTTATAGATTAATTATTTGTTATTTAATTATTATTTATCATTAATGATTTTTTTTAACATCTTTTATTATGTAAAACGTGTCCGTACTTTTCTAAATTAATAAAATTGGGCTGCACATTATTCTAATAGGCTACATAGAAACTATTATGTGTATACAGACTGTGCAAATAGAAAAGTTAGTAAACTAACTAGGTTTAAAGTAAATTCAAAGAGGTAAATATGCAAATAAATTAATCTTCAGTAGGTTTATAACTAACATTTAATAAAAAAATAATAAATAAATAATCACACTGTCAAAATATGAAGGAACAGAACCACATCATAAAATAAATAATATGAATCTAAATCAACGTGTGCCTAATATGCACAACAGTACACAAATAATTAGGCCTACTTTATGATTCCAAAAGTACTTACTACATATTATATTCATATGTTTGTGGACATAATAATAAATCACACAAAATTATTTGTAGCTATTTACCACATAATATATTGTGAAGGTTTTGCAAAAAAATTTAAACTGTTATCAGTCACAATTAGCATTTTTTTTTATTATTACAATTCGTAAATTTTTTTGTTCAATCTCTCGATATAATAAATACAATAGTTTGCATTAAAAACACGTATATTTTGTACATTCTTAATACATTTTGCAATTCTTTACAGATATAATAGGTACAATATTGTGACATCTGCTTACATTTATAAACAATTTAAATAAAATCATATTAGATGTCACAGCACTTAGTGCCAATGGATAAAGTTAATAAAAATAAAGCTTAGGGCTAAGAAATATAATATGAACATTCAAATATTTTATACAAAATAAAAATTATAACAATAAAATAAAAAATAAACAAATTAAAATCAACATTTTTTTATCATTTAAATTAAATTGACAGGCATACACAATGACAAAATAAATACAAATTCCTATAAAAAACAAAATTAAAAAATAACCTATCAACAGCCAACAAATAATACTGATCCAATATCACAATACATCTACAACTCGCTCATGCTAAACGGAATGTTAGGATGCAGGGCAAGCATGTGGCTCTTCACATTCACTTTCTGATAGAACTTGTGTCCGCACACTTTACACGAGAACTTAGGTTCTTTGCCGCAATACAGCTTCTTGTGAATATTGAGGCCGTTGGCAGTGGTGTAGCTATTCCCACAAGTACCACAGAAGAAGTTGCGAGATCCGATGTGTATCCGGTTGCTTGCTGTTCCCGACAACCCTGAATGTCAAGAGGTCAATTATTGACAGAAATAATTAAACAACTACTACACATTAATGTACGTGGTTAATTGTGGTTTTTGTAGAGTGTAAATTATGCATGTCACAGTAAAAAATGTATATTTGAAAGAAGCATTTATTATTTTAAGATAGCTTTATACAAATTTAGAAATAACATAAAATAGAGTATTTTTTAATTATCAGTTGACCTATGGTTTGTTTATTTCCGCCAACCTAAAGGAATGGTTAAATATTGTTTGATATTTGTTAAAAACTTTCCACAGTCTTGTTTATGTAGAAGTGTTTTTTTCCTAAAAAAAATCACAAATGGTGTAATTAATGTGTTCTCCCTGCTTCATAATGTTCCAACAGGAAGAATACTATTTCTTAGAAAACTATTACCACCCTACCCAAAATTGAAAACGTAATTCAACCAGGAAAAAAGTTCATTATACAATATTGTAAACACAACAATTTAAAACAAAATACAGTAGAAGATTTTCTACATCCAAAAAAAAATAGCATTTAGATCATTAATATAAAATAGCATTTAGACACACCCACAAAGACTGGATAAACGTTTAATCAACTCCTCTGATAAATAAATAAAATAAATAATTTAACACAATCCATTAATAACTACTTAACATTGACTGATACAATTCATCTTTTTTCTTCCCCCCATCAGCGTAATTACATAGAAAACTAATTTGATGTGTTTCCTTGTTCTAACCGTTGCTCAAAGATTGTTCAACATCAACATTGTTGTAAAACTTGTTTATTTATTTTAATTCAACTGTTGAGTGTTATTTACATTTCCCTAAGGTTAGGTAGTTATTTAATATTTTCAAACACCGTTTCAAGTTGGACAAGGAACAGTAGACAGTAGGGGTTAGTCAGCATAATTTACCCACAGAATTCATACACTCACTCAGTTTTAACATTATCCACACTTGTTACATTTGTTCTTCTTTACGAAGAGTTGTTCATGTTGACGAGCACAGCTCTGTGAGCCTTGATCATATGGCTCCTTACGTTCACCTTCTGGTAGAATCGTTTGAGGCAAACTTCACAAGAGTACGCAGGCTCCTTGCCACAATAAAGGTTCCGGTGGACTCGTAGACCGTTGTAGGTGGTGTAGGATTTGCTGCACACATTACACACATAGAGAGGTTTCCCCCCCACTGCTGCGGAAAACAAATTAATAACACTGTAAATACTTGTTTAAAAAAGTGGTGTAGAAAAGAATTAAATATTAGTACCTACGTACAAAAATAATTTTTCCCAAAATCTTGGTTTTGTCTTTTAGTAAAAAAATATCTTACTCTATATTTTATGATAACTTTTGAATTGCTATTAAATCAATTAAGATATCAACAATTTAAATTTGAGTTTGAAAAAATAGAAAATTAAATAATAGACAGGAACTTACCAGTAGTGCATTCCTGCTTTGGAACAATATTGCAACATCTTACTGTGTTTAACTCAAGAATATTTCAAATTCACATATTATTGACACCTCCCACAAAAAATGTTTTTACTTATCTAACACATTTAAGTACAGTATTTACAATGATGAATATTTAAATTTAAAAAATGTAAAGCAGAGACTGATTCTATAGTCATAAATACATCCACTGAATTTTTATGGTCTCAATGAAGAAATGTTCAATTCTCTGACTTTCTCCCTTTTATATTGAAAGCTCCAAGTCATCGGGAAAGAGACGGTGGAATTTGCCTTCATAGCAAACAGTTTACACTGGTTAATAACATTTTTTGTTTAGTATCGGAAATGTCACATAATTTGTCATGTAGCTATAAAATAGTGTGACAAATCACATAGTCTACAGAACTATGAAATACGACTCCATCATATGGATAGATATTTATAATTGATTTCCTAGCTTTTCAAACTTAACAATATTTTTATCAATTGGATTTTATTTTATGACAAATGATAATAGACATGGTATACTATTTATTATTTTGTAATTAAATTTTAATAATATATATTTTTATAATTGATTACCTAGCTTTTCAAACTTAACAATATTTTTATCAATTGGATTTTATTATATGACAAATGATAATAGACATGGTATGTTATTTATTATTTTGTAATAATATTTTAATAATGTGGTTGGGTTAGGTTGGTTTATTATTAAACTTTTTTCCATTATGGTATGATTATCTGAAGTAGAGTAGTATAAAAAAGTCAATGATTGAATTAATTGTGATCACTCCTCCTGGTGTATTGATAAGTATGTTCTTGGAACAAGTGACTCCAAGCATCAATGGACTTTTGTTGAATGGAAAAATTAGGTGAATAAACAATCATGAATATAAAAATATGTTTAATAACAAACAATAATTTAACAATGTCAGAACAAGCAATACCTATGATGTAGCCGAAGATATCGAGTGTGGTTAAATGTTGCTGAACATTTTCTGCACGTGAGGATAGGAGATTCCGCAGCTGAATCTTTGCCGCAGAAGTTCTTGTGAGATGAAAGTCCTCTTTGACTGGAAAACTTCCGATTGCACTTCACACACTTCAGGCCTGTAAAATTACATACTCATAAAACCTATGTCAAGGTTATATATATATGTTTTCTTAAGTGTATTCTTAACTTGGAAATAGGCTGCTTGGAACAATATTCAAAGAAGTAGTTTAAGTTCTGTTTACAAGTACCTTGTAGATTTAGTAGGTAAATAAATCATATTACTATTAAGTGATGGGTATTATATAATTTTGTTCCTGTATCTTGCCGACCTTAAAGAATTGGATTTAAAACAGATAAATTGTTGTAATATTTATTTTAATACATTATTTAAATATTGTCTACAATTAGAACAAAATGTGCATAATTCAAATTAATTCATAACATTTGTCATTAAAATGTATATCTGACAACATTTCAGGATGGAAATCATACAGCGCAAATTCAAATAGTAAGAAATTAGAATGCTACAATTATAAATTAAAATTCTTGTTTAAATTAACAACAAACCTGTGGGAAAAGCTAGGTTATTTTTAAATGATTAGAAGAGTTTTGTATGCAGCATTTCGTTGTGTCACCTCTAGTGAGTCAAGCAACAAACATATTAATTCTCGGATTGTTGAACTGATAGCAAAAAGTATGAACTTATAAACCAGGTCCAAACAATATGAAATATATTTAGCAGTTTGCCTTATGACACTATTATATTACACCTATTACTGTTATCATAGAATGATATGAGGTTTAAAAAAAATATAAGCTAACCTCACCTTTTAACCTATATTTTAAATTTTTTGACAATATAAACCTTGTAATCTTGTAAAGGTAATCAACAATTTTTTTGAGTTTAAACAATTTTTTAATGTTTTCTATGATAAAAGTAAATTAATTAAAAATTTAAAATCATTCAAATCCACTGTAAGCTCCAATATTATTTTCAAATAACGCAGATTTATTATTTCAAAAAATATTAAATTCATAAATATGACAGAAAAAAATAGTTTAATAGCGATCCTTCCAAAACGCATTACTAAATTATTCAATATACCTTTGTTGTTAATAAACATAATAAAATAAATATTTAAAAAATTATAATAATTGAAATAAACATAAAAAGGAAAGATAAAAAGAAAAATTAAAGGTAACATAAAATATATTTATTGCACTGAATGTAAGCAAAACAAGAAATACACCTTTGACATAACAGATGCAGCGTGTAAACCATAATGATAAAAAAAGAATCGGATGACCGTTCTTCAACTATTGTTGTTTTCAAATCTCTCAACTCCTGTCCTAGCTTTCGCAATAAGTTCAGCTTTTAGATCAAGAACCCATTTTGAACAGTAATGATCATGAGTAATTAAGCCTCGTTTTGTTGGAAACATTCGGTCACAGCGCCAGCACCTAAAGTTATAACCTAAAACATGTAAAAAAACTTGTTGGTAAAATTTAAAATTTGAAACCTTAATAAATAGCAAAAATGTAATTACATTATTTGTTTACAAAAACTTCATATAATTCCTTACCTTGTTTATTTCAAATGTTTTGATTTTTCCTGTGTTGCCTATTTCATCCCTGTCCGATGGGATAATTTACAGAATGAGGACAAGTTTTAATAATTTATTCTGTACAAAAATTAATTCAAGGATTGTAAAATTTGTAACATTTATTATTTTTTATATTTAAGTTAAGTTTAATTAACTTAGTTTTAGCTTTTTAAAGGCGTTTGATTAAAACCTTATTTACAATTTATGAACTTGAAAACAATTTAACATACTTACGTTTGGGAATTATATTAAATTATATACAAATTACAAGAAATAAAGGAAAATCATTAAAAACATGAAACAAATATCCAACACAATAACTAATGCTCAAAACCTAGTGACAACTTGTAGACGTAATAATCACATAAGTTAGGCAAAGAAAAATGAAAACGTAAAAAATATATTTTGCAAGCATTTAAACTTTTCTAAAAAAGTCCAACGAAAGAGTAAACACAATATAGTTACTCACCAAATATTTCACCTTATATTCAAATTGTTTTATGAAAAAAGATTTAATGTATGTTAATAATTATTTCATAAAATATTTGTGAAAATAACCTGTTAAGAAATATTTTTGTAAAGCAAAAGGAGAAGTTTAACAAATACTCTTATTTAACATTTTATTTCAAAGTTTGGGTTACAAATTTGGTAATTAAAGTAAGATTAACTAAACTACGGACATTTCAGGAACTTTCTAATCATGGTAGGTCACTCATGAACTAAGGTCACTAAATTATCAACAAGTTAAACAATTATTGTTCACTAATTACTACAATTTCAGATAGGCTTTATCTTATGGATGGCACTCACATAATATGTTGATTGTATCCATACATTGAATACGACAAATCAACCTATGACCAATAAAAAATTACAAAATTATATGAATAGTAAAACAACAACTAACACTAAAGTGAGCAAAAAATATTAGCTCACAAAACAGGGAATCTAAATGTAAAATTAATTACAACTCAATTTCAGTCTCAAGAAAATAGGAACTAAGGATTATTTGACTATAACATGAGATTAAGACATGTAAATCTAAAGCGCAATTAAATATTTGGTCTGTTTAATTGAGCAATCATTATAAAAGAATGTATAGTTAATTTTTTTTAACAGACATTTTATATTTGTCTTTAATAGGCTAAAGGTTGTTGTGAAAATTTTGAAAAAAAATTAAAATATACGAGTTCTATGATTAGTAAAATAGGAACAAAATACCACTGATTTATAATTATATTAAAATTAATTTTTGGAATTTAACAGCTGGTGATTGATTAGTGATGTGATTGTAAATTAGGACAAACAGAATGTGAAGTTATGGGTCTGACTTATAAAATAACAAATTAAGTAGTAAAATTAAGTGCTGATTTTGTCTTCTGTTTAGGTACGTTTATTGGAAAGGATAATATAACAAAACTTGTATGGAAAATTTAACGTAAAATAATACTTTGGTCAAACATATTGCTGTCCTAAGTCCTATAGTTGCTACCTATCTTAAAAATATAGTTTCTTAAATTTTAAAATAATATCCACATATTACCCATGTTTTCTTAACGTAAAACAAATCAGGTTATAAGAAATTGCTAAGCTATCTGTGTATATATAGCTAACTACAACAAATCAAACAATTAAACTTAAAGATATACCCGTTTTAAGAATAAATCTACCGGAGAGAGCTGGAAATATTTCAGTTTTGTATAAACCTAAAATATCATAAAACTGTTACTAAACCAAGTGAGAAATCAGCATTTTAACTTGCATAAAATACTGTATTGCCTATACTAAGTTTACAACAAATACAAAACATCAAAATCGACTTAGTTCATCAAATAAATTCGTTGGTACAAATTAGAGGAAGGAAACAAAAAAGTTAATATCAAAAATAATTTTCAACCATTCTAATTTTTCCTTGTA